TGCATGCCCCCTCCACCCACCCCTCCTCCACCCGCAGTCTTGAAAGTGGCCCCGTCTGCGTAAACCAACTAAATCTAAAAGTGTTCGCTTAAGCAATAAGACGCACTCGGGGGCGTGGTAACTTTGGCCGAAATTTTTACGTGAAATGAAAACGAGGCCAGCTGAGGAGCGGCAGACGCGCCGCGGCCGGGGCCGGGCCGGCACCACCCGGGACCCGAGGGCCCCGAGCCGGCCGCCGCCACGGTGGCTGCAAGGTAAACTAGAGCACTCTAAAAAAGCGCGATTAAAGTAAACTTTTTCTTTACGAGAGAACACTTAATGTACTGCTCTTGTTTACGGGCCTACGGGGACTGCGCGCCGCCTGCGAGGTAATATTTTGATGAAATGCGAGTGGTAGGAGGGGGTCTGCTCGTGTAGGGGTCGGAGGGGGTAGAAGTGTCAAAAGTGTATAGAGCGGGAGCAGCAACCCGTGTGGGGAGAGGGCCCCAGGGCGGGCGGAGCCTGCGGAGCTACCGGCGCTGCGACACAGCGGAGTGTCCCCGGTTGGAGCCCCCGCGGCCCCGCCCGCCCCGCCCCAGCCGGTGTCACTGGCGCCGGCCCGCCCCACTCCGTGCCGTACCGCGACGCCATTGGCCGGCTGGCGGGGCGACGCTGCTGGGCCCCTCGCGGTGTCACCACGCAGGGAGGGGAGGGCGGCCGCCGTCGTAGCGGGGCCCCGCACGGCATGGGGACCGCCCCGGGTCCCCTCCACGCTCTCTCTCTCTGGCTCTAGATTATTTCTCTGGAGCCTGGAGTGCTGCGGTGTTCCAGCCCCGCCGGCGCCACCCCGGCCGGGGCCCAGGACGGTGTCGCTGCGGGCTCCGGCGGGGCCGGGCGGGGCCCCGGGCCGCGCGGTGGGGGGTGGCGGCGGCGCCCGGTGGCGCCAGTGCGCAGGCGCGCCGCGGGTTGCCGCCCCACCCGGCGCTGGGCACGGCGGCACCACGGCACGGTGAGGGGGAAAAAAGAGGGGCGTGTCAAGGCAGCTTCCTGTGTCGCCTATCGCGTCGCAGCTCGGGGTGCCCCCGGTGGCCCCCCGGCCCGGGGAGGGGGCGCGAGCGCGCGAGCGGCGAGAGAGGGGAGGGCACAGCATCCCGCCCGGTCCAGGGCGCCAGGGCCCCGCACCGGTGCTACCGGGGGCGCCACCCACCGCGCCTGTGCCCTGCGTCGCGACGCGCATGTCCGCGCCGCCGCCAAAGCCCCGCAGAGCAGACCCCGCCGACCTCGGCCGGCAGGGCTGGCCGGGGGTCGCCCGAGTGTCTCTTCGACCTCCCCCACCACCCCGTGGCCTTTCCCCGCTCCCCCCGTACCAAAGAGCCCCGTCCAGTCCAGCCCCCACTCCCTCTGTTTGGCCACTGGTCGCAACGGTACCACCAGCGTCGGCATCGGCGCCGTCCTCTCCTTCTACGTGTGCCTTCCAAAGGGCTGTTTGCGTTGCTCTGCTTCCTCGCCGGGTTGCCTACCCGCCAGGATGCTGAGGTAGTTGGCATTCCCCTCTTGCGCAGGTGCTCGCCTCGCCGCCGCGCTGTTGGCGTGAAGAGCGCGAGAATAATGCGGGATTACGTCGGCTTCTCGATAATCTGATCCGTAATGAGCCATCACTGTTGGGGCTCGGCGTGGCGGGGCGTTGCGGGTGTGGCGCGGGCCCGCGGACCTGGTGGTTGGTAGTCGTGAAGAGGAGAGTAGTGCGCGGACATCGATATCGATTGGGCGCGGCACTGCGGGGGCTCCTTTCTGCCCCGCCACGCCCCGCCAGGCGCTTTGTGGCCGTGCCGGCCGGCTCATGGCCCGTGATGGCCGTGTAAACAATCGCGGACGTGGCCGCTTTGTGTCCGGGTCTGGTCGGCCGTGTCCGTTCCGTCACATCGCCGGGCCCAGCCCGTCAGGCACCGTCTGCAGCTCGCACACTCTGCTGTGTCGAGTCTGTCCCGTCACACCACCCGTCCCGTCACACCACCCGTCCCGTCAGTCCCGTCACACCGCCCGTCCTATATCACATTGGCCCAGCCCGACAGGCACCGTCTGCGTCACAGTCTGCTCTGCCGGGTGCACTACGACACATTCTCCATCGGCCGAACTTGTCATGAGATCGAGGACCGAGCTTCGATCCCTGTCGAGGCAGTATTTTTCTGCGGTCAGACTTTACCAAATTTTACAAACTATTACATTTAAAACTCTCCATTGTATTTACGGTATTATTTCTGGGGTGTTCTCCTCGGAAAGCCGATAAAAGTGAACGCCTCTGGCGGGGATCGAAGCCGCGCCGCCTCAACGCAGAGCCGTGCCCGCCGTCTTGCTCGGAGAGCAGATGAGCTCGCACAGCTCGCGATCGACGATGGAGAGCTAAGTCGGCCGTCCGGCCGCCAACTTTGGGGCTAGCTCGCGTAGCTCGCTGGTTTTGAGTCAGGAACGTGCGCGAAGTCTCAAAAATGTTGACAGTGGCCCAAACCCTTTCCAATAGTGTGTGACAAATTAATTCCCCGTGACGGGCGCGCCCGATGCTCCCCCGGGCACTCGCGCATATTGCCATCGTGTGCACGCACTTGGCCGCCCACGCACCGCCACTGGAGTGGACGTGGAGGGCCCCGGCCAGCCCATTGAGCTGCCCGCCCCGAGGTCAGAATGAAGGGCCGCCGGTAGGAAAGGGCTGCTCTGGGGACGCGGCGGCGGCGGTGGCCGGCAGGGGGGCTCGACGAACCCCCGCGACCCAGTGAGGGGCGCTGATCGCTCTGCTTCATGCAATCGGAGGCGGAGAAGAGGCAGGAGGATGGCGCCTTATTAAAGCTGCACGGCGTGGCGGCGTGGCGCTCACAACAAGGCAGGCAGTTGCAGGGCCTGCGCCTGCTCGGGGCTATTCTCTCTCTCTCTCTCTCTCTCTCTCTCTCTCTCTCTCACTCACCCACTCACTCACTCACTCTCCCTCACCTTCGCCGCTCTCTCATTCTCGCGCCGCCTCTGTCTCTCACTGTTCTCGCTCACACTGTGCCGCGCCACGCCACGACGCCCTCGCGCGAAGAAATCAATACCAAGGCTTGGGCGGCGGAGCGGGCCAGCAGGGGGTGGATGGTCTCGGCAGCGACGTTACGCCCGGAAGTAACGGCGGGGAAACGGCCCGTATTGTTGTTGTGATTGTGGGGGCTGCCAATCAGCGCGCTCTCGTGGGCCACTCTGCGGGCCCGAGGGCTGTGACAGCTTGTCCTGGGGGAGGCGGAGGAGGACCGACTCCCCAACGGGCAGCCCCGCGGCCACCACTCCACTCGGAGCATGTCCTTTTGATTTTCTCGTCCGAGGTGTGACGGGGGAGCGGAGCACTCGCCCCGGCCGGCCGACCCGTCCGGTTCGGCTATCGATAGCAGGGGGGTAGCGGCGTGGGCGTCGAACCGTTCTCTGCAGTATAGTCAGTACCCCGCCCTCCCCTCCCGTTGCGCCTCGCTTGCCCGGCGGGGAATGTTTCACTGCAATCGGAGCGGACGAGAAATCTGAAACTTGTGACCTGTAGGTGTTGGTGGATCGGGGCTGTGTGCTGCGCTCGCTGGACTGCGCTGCGCTGCGCGCTGGTGCGGCGCTATGGGCGTGGCGCTGCACATGGACTGGACCGTGATGGGATGCGGTACGTGCCGCAGCGGCAGGTGCCGCACCTGTCCACTCTCTCGTCACGTCCGCCGGCCGCAGCTGCAGCCGCAGTCTGATACACTGTCGCCGACTGACTGGGGTTATAGGGTAGTACACATCGGACGGCTGCCTCTGAAAGATTTCGCAGCTCACCTGCTCTCCTGCTTAAAATGCCGTTGAAAAGGATATTAAAGGAGCCCGCGCGAAGTGGCCAGCCAGGCTGCTGTTGTAACTAGAGGTCCAGCAGTGGACGTGCCGCGGCCAGCCGCTCCGCCCGCCGTCCCTATCGGATTGGCGCCCTTCCTAATGACGCCACAAGGCGTCGCGACGCGGTGCAGAGCGGCGCCGCGCGGGGCTGGCCGACGGGGGCGCGACCAGCGCGACGTGAGCTAATCTCTGCCATCATTACGGCCGGCCGGTGGCGTAGCTCGGCGGTGCTGCTGCTCGGCGCCACCACTTTCACTTCCTCGATGTCGGCGGCGGTGACGACTGAGCCGGCAGGGTGGGGCGGGCGAGGGAATACGGTAGTGTACCGCCTGCCGCCGCGTAGGGGTGGGCGCCTGCCGCAGCTGCGTAGGCAACCCTTCGTGCGCGCGGGGGTTGCGCCGGAGCGGCTGCCTACCTGCCGGGCGCCTACCGGACCGCATCCTCATCCCCTCATCCTCCTCATGCATTACCCCCATCTTTTGTTGCAGGCGACGGCAGGGACGTCTCCGGGACCCGGGGCGAGCTCCAGGGGAGGGCGAGCGCCGCGTCGTCGGCGCCGGCGCCCCGCCCCGCCGCGGGCACCAGGAGCCCCCTCGAGGGGCAGAACCCCTTCCAGCAGGGCGCCGCCAGGCTGCCGCTCGCGGCCCCGGCCAGGGCGGCGCCGCCCCTCAGCCCGGCGAGCAGCAACGCGGGCCTCATGATGGAGGTGGTGAGTTGACCCGCAGGGACTGCATGGAGTCTCCTTCTCCGCGGTGGATTACTGCCGCCCCGCTGTCATTTAAGTTCCAGTCCGGCCGGGCTGGTCCGGTCCATCACGGTCGGCCCCGTCAGCCCGTTGGGCCGGCGGCAGGTTCACTGGCCACGGCTGACCCGCGAGCGCGCCTCGCGATCCGCTCCCTCTATAACGCGCATCGTGTGTGTGAGAGGGAGAGAGAGAGAGAGTGTGTGAGCCACCCGGAGTTACGAGTCTAGAACGCGGCGTGGAGTAGCGTCGCGCAAGCAGCAGCAGCGGCCCGATGATCCTCTCCTCTATAAAGCCGCTGTTTATGACTGCCAGTGCCACCGGCCAACAGGTGAGGTAATTGCAGACGGTGGCGGTGGGACGGGACGGGACCGCGGCGTGGCGGCCGACCTGCGACACTGCCGCTACGTGACCTCAGCGGCCGCTGCTCTCAATCTCTAAATTAACGACGTTGCTGCTACTTTTGCCCCCCCC